TTATAGGAGCTTAAATGGTGAGCTGTGAGCTCTATTGTTGTTCATTCAGAGCTGCTGGGCAGGTACTTTTAGGTCTGCTGTAGCAGAACTCATAAACTGCTTTTTGTTCCCAGGTGCTCTGTCCCAGGGATTTAGGGCTTTATTTATGAGTTTCCGTTATGCTGCCACCTTTTTTTTTTTTTTCCTTCAGACCTGCCCTGCCCAGCAAGGAGGCAGCCTAGTCACTGTCGGCCTATAGAGGCTTTGCTGAGCTGCTGTGGGCTCCGCCCCACTGCTGAGTGAACTTCCCTGCAGTCCTGTTTATATGGGTGTAGTTAGAACTGCTTTGGCAATGGTGGCCCACCTCTGTTGAGGCAGAGTCTCTCTGCTGTCGCGGGTTGCCTTGGCATCGGTGGGCTGCCTCAGCAATGGTGGGTTGCCTTAGCAATGGCGGGCTGCATCAGCATTGGTCGACTACCTTGGTCGTGGTGGGCTGCCTCGGTAATGGCAGACACCCCTCCTCCACAGAGCTGGACCGTCCCGGGTTCAGCTGCGCTTGCTGTGAAACTCTCAATCCAGAGTTTCTGGTTGCTGTTCTTTTGTGGGGGTGGGACCAGCCGAGCCTGATCGCCTGGCTCCCTGCCTCAGAGCCTTTTTTAAGTTGGTGTTCCAGTCGCCTGTTGAAGAGGCACCGGGGCCTGTTTGTTTTCCCTTGCAGTCACTCACTGCGCTGGCTTAAACAGCGGCACTGAGGTTTGTGGCACTTTTTTTTGCCCTGGAATCTACTGTCCTGTTTCTCTGCTCAGTCCCCTTTTTTGAACCGGCGAATGGGCAACTTCCCATGGCTCCAATTGCCAGCCAAAAGGGCACCCAGACCGGTGTATTTTGTACGGAGAACCGCTGCTCCGGGGCGCCGACAAAGCAGCCGCGCAGGGCAAAGCAGCGGCGCCAACCAGCACAGCTGCGCTGGCCTAAACAGCCACGCTGGCGACCGTGGAGCTCCTCCGCCCGGGAATTTCCTAGTCTGTGGGCAATAAAAACGCGGCATCCACTCACCCTCTGTGCTTTCACTGGGAGCTGCAATCCTGAGCTGTTCCTTGATCCATCTTGGATCAAGCTGCTGAATACTCTTTCTAAATTTTTAAATATATTTCATTTTCAAGTCTAATAATATTGGCTAGTATTTCCAGGAACATGTTAAATAAAAGTGGTAATTGTGGACACTCCTGGCCTGTCTGAGCAAAAGTTTCACTATTAAGTGTTTGATAGGATTTTGTTTAATATCATATATGTAGATATGTGTTGTATACGTATGTGTGTATGTATGCATGTGTAACTGGGAGCACTGTAATTGAACAATACATATTTGAAACCACTAAAGAGGAAAAATCAATGTCTCCAGCACCAGCAGCAACCAGCTATAAAAACAGAGATAGCGCCATTGCACTCTAGCCTGGGTAACAAGAGCGAAACTCCATCTCAAAAAAAAAAAAAAAAAAAAAATACCATCAATGGTGCTAAGCTTAGGTGAAACAGGTGATGATCCAGTAAATTATATGTCAAATATGTATGTGTGTGTGTATATATATATATATATATATATGAAGGTTGGTAGACCCCTTAACAGAATGAACTTGAAAAAACCAAGCCTAGACATAAAGTAGTCAAATTGCTGAAAATAAAAGATACCCCACAAAATTTTGAAAGCAACTGGAGAAAAATGACATATTATGTAAAGAGGAAGCAAAATTCAAGCTACTACAGATTCCTCATTCAGAAATTATGGAAGGCAGAGATCATGTAAAGTGTTCATCACCTTAAAACCAAAACACACATGTGCACACAAACTGTCAGTTCAGATACCTAAATCCAGGAAAAATAGCCTCCATAAAAGGAAAGCAAAACAAAACAAAACAAAATGAACTTACAGAAAGAGGAAGCTATGTGAATTCATTTCCACTAGACCTACAAGAAAAATTAAATAATTCTCTTGTATTTTCAGGAACAAATGAAAATGATTAACAGCAAAGAAATTCAAAGACTGTTTTTCCTCTTAATTAAAAAAAGACATGTGACTATTTAAACACAAATTATAACAACATATTTAGATGTACTATATGATAACTGTAGCATAAAGGACAGTAGAGGAGCAGAAATAGATCTCTACGTAGTTACAGGATTTGTACATTTTATGTGAAGTGTTACAATGTTAGCTCTAATAGACTTCGAATAGTTAAAAAAGTATATTGCAATCCCTGGAGCAACCAATAAAAAACATGTGAAAATAAAATGCTTAGATTAATATTTAAAATGAAATGAAATTCTAATAGAAAATACTGAAATAACTCCCAAGAGAACAAAAGAGAAAAATATGACAGCACCCACAAAACAGATAATAAAGTGGTAGGCCAAAATTCAATCTCATCAGTAACTACACTTAATATTAATAGATTGATCTCTGTGACTAGATAAAAGCACAAGACCCAACTATGGTTATCCCCAGTATCTGTTGATTCCAGGACTCCCCCTCCTATACCCAAATCTACAGATGCTTAAGTCTGTTATATAAAATGGCATAATATTTGTATGCAATGTATACACATCCTCCTGTATACCTTATATCATCTTTAGATTACTTATATGCAATACAATGTGACACTATACAAATCATTGTGATACTGTATTATTTCTTTTTATCTGTATTATTTTAAATGTTTGTATTTTTAATTGTTTTTTCTCAGAATATTTTGTTCTTCGGTTTTGTTGAATCCATCGGTGAAGAACCTGTGGATATAAAAGATGTACTATGCTCTTTATAGGAGATGTAATGGATGCCTAATAATAGATCCCCAAAATACATAGAGCAAAAATGGGCAGAATTAAAGTGAGAAGTGTGCACTTCTATAATCATATTAGGAAATTTAATACCACTCTCTCAGCAATTGATAGCACTAAACAAGTGTCAGTTTAATTACAGGGAATCTGAAAAATACCATGAACTACCTTGACCTATTTGTTTTTTAAAGTACATAAAACAGAAATGAACAGAATTACAAAGGAAAAGCCATTATAAGAGAAATGTTAACTCACTTCTCTAAGAATTAAAATATCAAACAAAAAATTAGCAAAGATTTAAACTATACAAAATGAAAAGCATTATAAAAACAATGAAAATCCATAATAAAAAACATGTTTAGAAATTGAGGCTGGGGATGGTCACTCACATCTGTAATTCCAGAACATTGTGAAGCCAATGTGGGAAGATCACTTGAGGCCTCCAGAAGTTTAGGACCAGCCTGGGCAACATAGCAAGACTCATCTTTTATTAATAATAACACAAATAATAAAAATAAACATGTTTAAAAATTAGAAAACACATGTCTAAATAACTAATGGATCAAAGAAGAATTATAAAAGGAATTGTAGAAAATATCTCAAACTATATATTAAAGTTATGTGATTAATATTAGGTTTAAAAACGTATAGGATATAGCTAAAGTAGTACTTAAAGAAAAGTTTTATTTTAGAAAATAAAAATGGCTAAACAAAAGGGAAAAAAATAAACCAAAAGAATGTCAGTAGATATGATAATAAATACCTCTATTATCAAAAACACTAGTGCTTGTGTTATTGTGAGACAACAGGAATATAACCTGATTTATATATTATAAAAGACATCAATGCTGATGTGTTGAACAACCTATAAACAGAACTTTATTTCAACAGAAAAGCAGAATAATAGAAAACAATCCAAAATGATGAATATGGATATGGTAAAAAAATGAAAGTATCAAATGTCCAGTATAGAAAAAAAAAAAAAAAAACTAATAGAAGCTGGTATTTGAGAAGAACAGAAGGAAGTAAGTAGAAAATTTGTGACTAACTCATATTACACTTTGTAAAAGTGTAAATCTCATATAAAACGCATGAAAATTGGGGGTTAGCTGAGGGTGTGTGGAGAGAATCTATTGTCTATCATAGAAATAAATGGTTAATCCCAAGTGGTATATATAGCAAATACCTATCCAAGGTTTCTGTCATGGCAATCTCTAAATAAAGCATCTAAATGTAATCTCTAAGTAAACCAGCAAAGACTAAAACATTTACATCCTGGAAGAATGTTGCAATAATTTAATCATTTACTGATGGAGCATGTGACCATGGTACAAAAAAAAGGCAGACAAACAACATAAAATAATTCTAAGAATGCTTGTGATCTATGGTCACTCATTACAGAAATTATGCCACTATTTTCCAAATGTGACATGATAACGAATGCTCAGAAACTGTAAAATAGAATATGTTTGATCAACTGTTATGTTCTGATACATCTATTCTTATAAACAACCAATGGTGTGAGGTAAACATGGAACTTAGATCATCACCAGCATTATCAAGTGATTTAGTCATCTAAATTACACATATTTATACATTTGAATTTTTTATTCTTCCCTGTTAGGTGTACAGATCCAACATAAATCCTCGACTAAGATTAAAATTCTCATTTAGGATTAAAATGCTCTTTTCTATGTGAAAAGCAATAAGAGAAGTAAAATCTCCAATTAAACCACAATCTTCATAATCTAGTGGAATCAAATGGCAGAAATGGAAACAAGTGAAATCTAGAAAACAATGGATTATAAAGTAGTACAGGAATTAAGCCTGAAAGTCAAATGTGGATGGTGCCATTTTCTCACTGGCTCCTCAACCCTTAAAAGTTGCAAAATTTCCTATATTATCTCCTCTACCTCAGATGTATCAACCATCCATTATGCAATTTTTGGTTGGGACAGTATATAAGTGCAGCATACAAAGTAGGGATGTGGGTTGGTAGGAAAAAGAGAAATACAGAAAGTTTGGGGTATAATGTTGGGATCTGTAGGTGGTATAAAAAAGGTATTTAGAACCAGAAGTTATGTCCTATTACCTTTTTCTATCAAACACATTAATACCATCTCTCTTACTTCAAGTCAAGACACTGAATCACCAGTGTTTATTTCTTTTGAAAGCATACATCTTACCATGTGGAATTGTGGTCTGGAAAGGGCGACTTGGGCTTTTCAGGTTCCATAAAGTCAAACTACCATCTGAATGGCTGCACATGAACTGTTTGCCCTCATGATGCCAATCAATTGAATGAATAGCCTAATAAAATAACAATTAAAAACAAGTAGAGGGGGAAAAAGTAGATAGGTTATGTCATTTTATATTCCAAAGGAAGATTATTTTGATATAAAATTATTATACAAATAACATTTAATGATGTAATTTTTCTGACCCACAACAGACTATAATTTCTAGTAACACGAAGTCCTATTTCCTCCTAACATAGCCAATTTAAAAAATAATTTGAGTAACAGTTACCATCTGAAGGCTTTCTATGTGCCAACTCCCATGGCAAGCATTTTATACGTATTATCTCATTTAATCCTATAGAAAGGGTATTATTTTTTCAATTTATACATGGTGAAACAGGCCTTGAGAGATTGAGATACTTGCTAACGTCACACAACTCAAAAGCAAGGTCTGTCTAACTACAAAAAACATATTCTCAATCATTGCACACTGTTTCCCCCTCGTGTATATGCTATTTAAATCAATTTAAAGCAAAAAAGGTTTAAATTTTCTATTATATTTTCAAGTTAACTCTTTAGTTTTGAGTCAGATAAGATTCAAAAGTAATTATAGCCATCCCTCGGTATCCAATGGGGATTAGTTAGAGAAACTCCACATTCCCTCAGATTCTAAAATCCACAGAAGCTCAAGTCCCTTATATAAAATGTCATACTATTTGCATACAACCTATCAATATCCTTCCACATACTTTAAATCATCCCTAGATTACTAATAAAATGTAAATGATATGTAAATATATTATACTGTCTTTTTATTTGTATTATAAATTATTATATTGTTTTAACATTATTTTTTAAATATTTTCTATCATAGTTAGTTGACTCCAAGGATGCGGAATTTATGGATACAGAGGGCTGACTGTATTCCATTTTCCCAAGCTACTGTATTCCCAATGCTAACACAGTGACCAGCATAAAGTGAGCACCCAATAAATATCTGTTGATTGAATTAGTAATTAATGTCAAACACATTTCCACATCCTTGGTATTCTTTCTAAATTAATAAAGTATATTCAGAACTTGGGTAAAGTACTAAGTACCATGAGAAAAAGTCTAGCAGATATAAGGCAGAAAAGAAGCATACAACATATTTTCCTTAAAGACACTTATAAAGCACTAAGAAAGAGAAGATGAATATAAGTGAATACTAATCATACTTATTGTCCGAAACAGACAAAGACACACACAACCAAAAGTTCCAAACAAAGTTACACATATATAATTGATAAAAGTTCTAAACAATCAGTGATTAGAGTTGCAGATAATTCATGGCTAAAGTAATTATTAAACATATCATCAAGAAAATAAGGTTTGATTAAATGGAAAAAGCAACATGAAATCCTAGACTTGTGTTTTCTCTCACCCTGTGGCCTTCGTTACTAAACAGAGATTTCTTTTTTGCTAGAGTCCAGCAGAGGAAGCTAGAGGGAAAATACTTATTTCTCTTCTCTTCTGCTTATTTTTTCTCCCTTCTGTAGGTGGTTCAAGGGAAAGTCACATCGGCTTGCCTCATATATGTTAACTTTGATGAGCCTCATTTAACTTAAAGTTGTCTCAAACTGTTTTGCCATCAAAGGTGGAGGCAGAAAAGGCACTCTCAGCCCTAAACCTTCTTATTTCACTGAATTTCTATCTACTGAAAAGGACAGAAGTAAAAATAATAGCTACAGTAAAGTCAAAATAAGTACAATTTTAAAAGTATATTTATTGTTTGGAAAAACAAGCATGTAAAACCAACTTGTTATTAGAGATCAAGGTCTCATATAGTACATTACTGAGTAGCTACCATTTGATCTGACTTGATGGATAAATATTCAATTTATGTTTATTAAATTCTACCCTACTATTTTCTCAAAAAAAGGGAGAGGGGCTCAGAAGCTTACTGAAAAAAAATATATAACTAATCCAAACAAAATTTGAATGACAGAAAACAGAATTTTAAACAAAAAACATTAGCTAGTTTTATCAACTCCGTGGCTGAGACTGAGTTTCTTGAAAACATGAAAGAAGAAGGAAATCCAAAAAACTGGACAACAACATGAAAAAAAGGAAATACAGCAGTTCTTAAGAAATTTTCCTCATGCCAAACTCAGGGATTTCTTTGTGAACGATTATTCAAGAATTATTGACATAATGAAACAAAAATTTTATAGTTAATATGAAAGTAAAATTTATATATGTATTTCTGAAAATAATCTTGGATTTCCAAAACAAGACTCAATTCATCAATGGCTACTTATGAAGAGGCTAGTTAAATTGTCCAAATAACTTTACAGGGGCTAAAGACCTAACAGATTTGATATACAGAAGAGGAAAGAAGGCAGTTCATGATGAGAAGTCAGAAGGAGCAAAGGCTCAGAGATAAGAAATAAGTGTTATAGATAGGAGATAGCAAGTAATATGTCTGAAATGTGGGGAATGTGTAGAAGGATATTATAAATTTAACTAAATAGGAATGATCACACTAGGTTCTTAAATCTCATGTCAAGCAATATGGACTTTGTATTGTTGACAATTGAGATCTATTCAAAGGTTCTGGAGTAGAGAATTCCATAATCTGTTTTAAAATTGTAATATTTTAAATTAAGGATATACTGAAGAGGTAAGACATCAAAGGAAAAGTGCTTAGTTAAAATACTCTTATAGTCATCCAGGCAAAAGATAACAACTTAAACTAGGACATTGGGAGTGGGAATGAGAAAAGAGGAAATAAATGAGACAATAAAAAGTCAGAATCAAAAAGACTACAGAAACTGATTGCAGATAATACATGATCATAGAAGAGACAAATATTACTTTGAGGAGTCTAAACTGAATTAACTAAATAAGACTAAAAACCAGAGGAAAACATAAAGGGTTTAGGTATTTAAATATAAATTCACTGCCAATGGGATATTCAGCTGGATTTATCTAATATATTGTTATAAATTTAGATCTAGAGTTCAGGAGGGAGGTAAAGGCTATAGATGTATGAATGTTAATTTTTTTTAGCATAAAGGTAATGTTTGAAATGATAAAAGAGGATACAAACATTAAAAAGTATACATTGGGGAGAGAAGAAATGAGGGTGAAGACACAGTATCCTGAAGAGTATCTATAATTTAAAAGAGAGCTAAGGGAAATATCAGTTATGAAAAAGGAGGCATAATAAATGAGGTGGAAAGACATAGACAAGTGAATAAATTATTTTAAGAGGAAAAACTGAGGTGAAGCCACAGGTTTCATGAGGAATTTAGACTAAGAAGAGATCACTGTATTGGTGACTTATGAGAAACAGTTTCAGGTAAGTATTAAGCATGCTTTCTAGATATGAGAGGTAAAGTGCTGAGGACAGGCTGAAAAGCTTGGCAGTAAAATGAAGTATTTAACTATATTAAAACAACAGAATATATAATGATGCATTAAAGTAAATAGATGACAGATTTATATACATATATCAGCTGTCAGTAATGTCTAGATATAAATTACACATATTGTGGTACTGCACTAACTCACTTAGGCAGCTGATGATCCTTATTTTAAAATTTCACTGAAATTTGACTCTGTTTTAAGGCTCAAAACCTTTCTTCCATACTTTATAAGGCCACAGGAAAGCTACTTGATTCAGCATTTTCCTCTGGGTTTCCTTTTGGGGTGATTATTCTAATTCAAACTGGCTAAATATTCCAATGGTATCTGTAATCTTGTTTAGCTGCTAGTGTTGACAGAGGAGCACTAACCATCTTCATCTTTATAATTTGTATAACAAAATAAAAATCCTAGCTTAGTTCCCTAGACTTTATTTTCTTACGATTCAAGATGCTCAAAAATTTGATCATAAAGAACATAATTGTATGGTATACTTGTCAGATTATTTTTCACCAATCATGAAAAAATTATGCACTGTCATTTTATTTGCTTTCTGAACTTTTTTTTTTTTTTTTACCACTATGAGAACCACTGAGAATGAATTGTGCAGTTTATAAAATAGGTGTAGGCTTATATCTTTAAGCACCAAAACTTAAAAAATTAACTGTTATGAAGGGGATGGGGAAAACATGTAAAGTATTCTAGGGTGGCTATAGGTTCATTTGGAGACATTTTTTATCCCTTCAGTGATAAAATGAAGAAGTGTTCTAAAATAAATGTGTGAGTGTTTTTCATTTTCTAATTATTTCAGTGCTGCATTAAATTATTTGTCACTCTTCCTATGTAAGAGTAGGTTTTATTGGACATAGATTCTTGGCCTATATTTTCCTTTCGTCTCTTCTTACTTCCACGATTTTCAAATTGTATTAAGAGCACAGATGATCACCTTTATTTCTACAGGTACAAAAAATAACTTCCCTTTTAATCTGTTACCCCTGGTTTTACCATCTTCTTGTTAGCCTCTTCTGAATGGAAAAATAATTAATGACCAGGAATTAATATTTGAACAATTGAAGTGTCAACTGGGAGATTATTCCTTGATGAATGGGAGTTTGTTTCTTCCCCTAAATATAAACCTAATCAAGTCTCAATTATGTATGATAAAACTTACTTCAATATCTTGTCACTTAATAAGTTTCACTTATTAAGATCTGGTCACTTATCAAGTATTGCTATTTACAAAATTTTTCTTTATCTAAGAGGGCAAATATTAGAAGATAAGGCCTTTCAAACTGACTTGAACTTTTTGCCACTGAAAAGGAATTTTCTAAGGAAAGTATGAATAGTGTCTTTAGAGACCTTAAGGACAGTGAAGCACAGTGTAGCCTGAAGCCTACAGAAAGGAAAAGCAGTTGAGACAAAGTTGGGGATATAGTACAGGTGACAGGCACCCAAGTACATAAGACTGACAAGCCAGGACCTATTAACAAATGCAAAGTACATAAGATCCCACAAAAGGGCCCCAAAATAGGCAGTCAAGGCAGAATTTCCTCTTAAGAGAAAAACCCAGAGATGGAATTTACACAAAAACCAAAAGACAGTGTGAAGTATTGGGTCAGAATCAGGCAACTTCCCAAGGCTAAACATATTGGCAAAGTACAAAGCTTAAAAGTAGAAGATAGGCACAAAGTCACAATACTCTTTCAAACATTTCAGTAGAAATTACTTACCTCATCATAATAAACTCTCAGTTCTGCTCTTTTAGATTTCAAGTCCCAGAATACTACAGTACCATTTTCATAACCTATTAGCAGCTGGAAAACATTAGAACAATCATTTTCTTAATTCTAACATTAATTTTAACTTGCTTCAAATAAAGTTTAATGTTAATAAAGTAAAATCACACCACATAACACAACCTTATTTAGAATACCAATTTTTCTAGAACTTGAATATGGGTTTTCTACATTTAAAAATATGGCAAGTAAACTGTTTCAATAAGAACATTTACCAGTAAACACCTAATTTCAAAAAGGAATTGAGGAAGAATATCAATATATATATGGTGTGATATAAAATAAGTATGAAAATCGGAAGAAAAGAAAAATGGGATAGAAATGTAGATGAAATAAAACATAATTGGGGTAAGTTTAATGAACTATGTATATGCCATTCAGTCCTATGCACTTGACAAATGTGGCCGCAATTTGGCTTCAAATGTATTCTATCAAATCCTATTTTCTCTTTGACTGAATTTAATATTTTAAATGGTTTATGAATACTCTGAAGATTATAAAGGTATTCTAGAGATTCACATCATTAAAAATTATTAATATTTATTTTTAAATCATAAATGAGATGATTAATAAAATACTACTTCTTTAAAATAGAAGAATTTGATAACAGATCATGATTATAATATGATCAGCTTTAAGACTCATTCAGCTAAACAATGCTAGCCATACTGATAACTTTCGCAGTTATATGGTTCTCAATTATTATTTGTGTACTTCCTATTTTTTTTGTTACCAATGATAGATTAAATATAATAAAATTGAGCCTATCATTGGTTAAGAAAAAAAAAAAGAAGAAGAGAAAGTATAAAAATAGCTAATGTTAAAATAATGAAAATATTTCTGACAGATTTGCCTTAAGATGATTTTTTTGAAACACATTAGGTACTGGTATTCCTCTAATGAAAACTATTATACACTGCATAAACATGTATCAGTAACTTCAAAAAACCATTGGTAAGAACAGAAAATGTAGTGGTGGGGATAACCTAAGTCTGTAGAGCATCCTGAGACTTTATCACTTATCTCAACATCTTACAATGAGACACAAAAAATAACAAAAATACACCAGCTAGTAGTTTTAGCAGTAAAAACACAAAAATTTCAAATATCAATTCATTAAAGCAATATACATATATTTTTGAAGCTATAACAAAAATGCTTAGTTATTAAACCATACACAACAAACATTAAAATTGATTTGACAAAAATTGAGTTTTCACATGTTCACTTGAAGTAAATGGCATATATGACTTGCTAAGTAAAAATGTCAAAATTAAATACATATTTGGGTAATATTTCTTAAAACTGATATGACTTTATTAAGATATGTTTTAACTTCAAATTAATTCCTTTTACATACAAGAGAAAATGATGAACAAGACCAATTTCTTTTCTTTTCTTTTTATTTTTATTTATTTATTTATTTTTTGAGACTGAGGACAGTTTTACTCTCCTGCCCAGGTGGGAGTGCAGTGGCGTGATCTCTGCTCACTGCAACCTTCACCTCCTGGGTTCCAGAAATTCTTGTGCCTCAGCCTCCTAAATAGCTGGGATTGCAGGTGTCTGTCACCACACCTGGCTAATTTTTGTATTTTTAGTAGAGATGGGGTTTCACCATGTTGACCAGGCTGGTTTCGAACTCCTGACTTCAGGTATCTGCCCGTCCCAAAGTGCTGGGATTACAGGCGTGAACCACCATGCCCAGCCAATAAAACCAATTTTGTTGAGTGTTATGAGACTATCGGCAAGGAGATATTGGCAAGGCAATTTATCAACCTAAAAAGTTTGGAAAATATAACTAAAGCAATAAAATGAATAATATAATCTTTCTAAAGTTGAGCCCCAAGATTTAATAAAATAATATCCTAAAACACTATGTTTTCTTAAAATAAATATCTGAAAGATAAAAGTTGCTTTGCTTATAAAACATTGCTAGCAATAGCCCTAGTAAACAAAATATAACATACTGAACCTCAAGAAAACCATAAACTGTTGAGATAAGTATACAAGATTGTCATTTAGAAAACATGTTATTTGAATCAGTTAGAGAATTAGAAAAAGAGAAAAGCATTCCCCTGACATCCGGCAGCATTAGACAAGGCCACTCTGTGACCATGAGGAATCAGGACAAAAATAAGAGCACTCTGCAATAATATTTGACCACACCAAAACAGGAACATTGCCCAAACCATAAATTATATATACATTTTTTTTCCCATTTATTTATTTTATTGCATTTTAGGTTTTGGGGTACATGTGAAGAACATGCAAAATTGTTGCATAGGAACACAAGTGGCAGTGTGATTTGCTGCCTTCCTCCCCATCACCTACATCTGGCATTTCTCCCCCTGCTATCCCTCCCCAGCTCCCCACCCCCCACCGTCCCTCCCCTATTTCCCCCCAACTGACCCCAGTGTGTAGTGCTCCCCTCCCTGTGTCCATGTGCTCTCATCGTTCAACACCCGCCTATGAGTGAGAACATGCGGTGTTTGATCTTCTGCTCCTCTGTCAGTTTGCTGAGAATGATGGTTTCCAGGTTCATCCATGTCCCCACAAAGGACCCAAGCTCATCGTTTTTGATGGCTGCATAATATTCCATGGTGTATATGTGCCACATTTTCCCTATCCAGTCTATCGTCGATGGGCATTTGGGTTGGTTCCAGGTCCTTGCTATTGTAAACAGTGCTGCAATGAACATTCGTGTACACGTGTCCTTATAGTAGAACGATTTGTAATCCTTTGGATATATACCCAGTAATGGGATTGCTGGGTCAAATGGAATTTCTATTTCTATGTCCTTGAGGAATCGCCACACTGTCTTCCACAATGGTTGAACTAATTTACACTCCCACCAACAGTGCAAAAGTGTTCCTGCTTCTCCACATCCTCTCCAGCATCTGCTGTCTCGAGATTTTTTAATGTTCGCCATTCTTACTGGCGTGAGATGGTATCTCAATGTAGTTTTGATTTGCATTTCTCTTATGACCAGTGATGATGAGCATTTTTTCATATGTTTGTTGGTATACATATTTTTTAAACTGAAAATGTCTCTCACAATAGAAGTAAGTACCATAAAGGCAAAGAAATAGAGTTACTTGTTCACCATGATATCATTAGAACCTAGACCAGTGTCTGAAAAAACAGGTATTTGGTGAACAACAAATTATTAAATACCAGAAAATAAAAATTGTAGATATTATATTCTAACCACAGTAAAATAAAAGTTATGACAAAAATATTTTGAAAACTAAAAAATATATCTGTAGGTAATTAATAAGCAAAGAAGAAATGAAATGCATGAAATAGAACTGAACAAAAATGCCTCATAAGACACACATGAATCTTAAGAGGAAATTTTATGGTTTTGTAAATATGTATGTAGGAAAGAAAAACTGCAAATGTTTTAATGATATAAGCATTGACTTTGAAAGGTAAAGAAAAAAGTAAATCTCAGAAAGCAGAAGAAAAGATAATGAGTCACCTTATTCAAGAGCAAAGGATACCACCTTTCATTTATTCAAGTATGCTTTTACATCTTTTAGGAAGTTTGAAAGATTTTTACATATTGATTTTCTTGCTAATTTTATACCTACTTATTTTAACTTTCTTATTGCTATTTTATATGGGTTCTTCTCTTCATTACCTTGTCTAAGAGGGTATTATTTCTATAGTTGGATTTTAGTATACACCCTTCGAAATTATTTTGTTTGCATTCATTTTCAGGTTGATTTTCTTTGTCATTCCAGATATATCATCATATAATCTAAAATAGAGGCCACTTTATTTTTTCAAGTTTTTAAGTCTCTAATTGTTTGTATTTATCTAACTGCTTTACTAAAAATCATCCTAGAGTATTAAAAATAGTAGAGAGGTTGAGCATCCTTGCCTTCTTCCTGACTTTAGTGGCTATGTCTCTAATATTTCCCCATTAAATAAGATCCTGAATTCTGGGGAGAGAGGGACAGGGTATAGAAAGAGGGAGAGAGAGAGAGAGAGACTAAAAGAACTATAAATTGATTTATACATTATAAATTTATTTTATTAGGAATAGGTGTCTAATTTTAAATTAAATATTTTTGTTGAAATGTATAATGTACACAGATTATAGATGTGTATTTAATGAATTATGAAATAAACATACCCATGAATCTATAGTCCACATTAAGAAATACAGTAGAAAGACAAGTAATACAAGAAAAATACAAGACATTCAGAAGCCTATTTTGTACTCTTACCTAGTTAATATTCCCACTCTCCTCTCTAAGAATAACCACTATCCTGACTTCTAACACTATACGTTACTGTTATCTGTTTTGAATTTTAGATAAGTAGAATTACACAATACATACTGCTTTCTTTCTTGCTTCTATTTCTACTATATTTGTAGCACTATTTAATTCAATTTCATTATTAAAATAGCATTTCATTGTTTCGGCTATGGTACTACCACAAATTAAATTACTCGTTTTACAGTTGATGTAATAATACTGCCCTGAACAACCTTCTACATATCTTTTGGTAAATATGTATATGTATTTCTGTTAAATGTGTAGTGATCCATAGCATATTAGTATGTTTAACTTTGACACAGCCAAACAATTTTCCAAAGTGGTTATACCAATGACTTCATGTTTTCATTTTCACAAAATATGTTTGAGTTCCAATTCCTTCTCATCTAATGACCAACACTGTGAATAGCTGTACAATGTGAAATTAAAGGGATAAATCATAGCCATCTTTGTCTCATTTCTCATTTCAAGAGGAAAACTTACGTTAATTCATCATTAAAGAGGGTATTGTTATAGCTTTGGGAAAATTAACAAAGTTCATATTAATGAAATTCCTTTTGTTTCCCTGTGTACCAAGAGATTTTTATAATGAAGAGAAGGTAAATTTTATTAAATGTTTATCTATTTTTAATCACTATATATTTCTCTCCTTATTTCTGTTATTATGTGAAATGCATTGACTGATTCTGAAAAGTTAAACCAACTGTACTCCTAGGTGAACATAAATTT